AAAAAAAAGGGAGGCCATCTCCAACGAGCAGGCTCCTGAATCGCAAGTGAAACAGACCAAAACCCCCCAAGACAAGGGGACGACGAAACACACACTACAGCAAGTTCAGGAAGCTTTCAAGCCGGGGTTTGCCATTCTGATACCGCCGCGACTTTTTCACCTGTAGCACATAATAGTAGTAGTAGTAGCATACGGAGCATGCAATATCACTTACAATACATCCCCCATCCCCGCCCCATCGTTGTGTGTCTGATGCCTTCCCGTCGCGAACCTTGTCTCGGAGAAAATGAACAGGGCTCTTGTTCGTGCAACAATGGGGGGTGGGCCGTTTCCCATGTTATTTTTGGAAGACAAATAGAGAGGCGGCGATAGATAACTTGTACGTGGGCCGTCCAAAGGGTATGTATTTCACAACCAAAAAGCAAATGCCTCACGCAGCAAAACAGAGAACCCAAGACAAAGAGAAAACCCGTGCAATTGTTCTGTCTTTGTCTGCTCACTCCTTTCCGCAACGCAAAAGGCTTTAGCTCCTTTGAGCGGGTGGTGGTGGGTGGCTTACAACAAAACTCCGCAATTTTTGATTGCTGTACCTTGCATAGCCGCTTTCAACCAACCCTCCAATGCGACAAGCCATACATATTCATGTTTGATTAGACAAGAGCTTGAGTGGGAGGACATGCGATACGGTAGTCCTACTACTACACTACTACTTACTACCTACCTTACTTCACCGACCAGTGAGAGGGTTCGGTGGCAACAGGTGGATGGGGGAGCAAATATGAGGGCAAAATAACATCTACCAATTCAACTCAATACCATATTCACCGCGGAGTATTGCATACAGCTACTAACATTACTAACTCATTTTCAATCTAAATCTCAACTTGGTCGTTTTTTGCCTGAAAAAGTTCCGCTTCTTTTGACCGACAAGTTGGCGGGCTATTCGTTGAATTCGCATCTCGAAATCTCGAAACCTCCAAGGCTGGCTTCTAAGAGGGGGAAGCAATGTAGAATGTGAGAAGAGTCTTAACACTTACTAATTAGGAGATTCACCTCCAGTATATCATTCAGCTCTATTCCAATCCAAGAAATTTGATTGCTCACAATAAGCTCATGTTTATTGCTCCAGTATTGAACCTCCAGCCTTATCCCATCAAACCCACCCCCATCTCTCGTATGGAGTATAC